TGTCAGCGTCTCTCTAGACACTTCCCTCACATGCGTGGCAAAAGAATTGAAAGAAAGGATGCCTGCCTGGGCCAAAATGAAAAAGGAAAGTAAAAGACAACTAATATTAGTCGATGTAGAAGTTTTTAGAAGTAGAGTCGGAACCCTTATAGACTCAGGGGCTACTCGCAGTTATATTAGCCGTAGGGCGCTGAAGAAGCTAAGGGCAGGGTTAAAAGTCCAAAGTTTAACAGACCCCATAGTCAGTGTCCTCGCAGACAACCGCACGATGCGTGTTGAGGACTACGTAGAGGGAGTCCAGACATATTTTCGCCTAGAGAAAGATGGGAAGGTGGAGAAAGTTCTCCATTCCCCGACTCTCCTCGTACAGGATGACCTCCCTTTTGACATAGCCCTAGGTATGGAGTGGGGAGAGGTAGCAGGGGCCACACTCTACTTGAGAGAGCATGAGTCTAGGCTCCCTAGTTCGTCAGGCGAGGTTAAAACGACTCGCCTGTTTCATGTGTCAGGAGTAGACAACTCCTTGGCACATTGTTGTCTCAGTGCTCCCGCGTTTGTGCGACTAGTGAAGGAGTAGTTAGAGGAACAAGTTTTCATTGCCTACATAAGGCCTGTCACTGAGCCTAAAGAAGATAAGCCAATGGATCCAACCATCGCCAAGCTGCTGAAAGAGTTTAAAGACTTAGGAGAACTGCTGACTGGAGTAGTACCGCGGCCGATCCAGCACCGGATAGAGATAGAGTCTGGCAGTATCACTCCTAAGGGAGCAATCTACAGGATGTCCCCAAGGGAGTTAGAGGAGCTACGCAAGCAGTTAGGTGATTTCCTCGAGAAAGGTTGGATTAGGCCCAGTTCGTCTCCTTTTGGAGCACCAGTGTTATTTGTCCCCAAAAAGGAGGGAGAGTTACACATGTGTATAGATTATAGGGGTTTGAATGCGATCACAGTAAAAAATGTTGAACCACTGCCCTTGATAGATGATCTTTTAGATCGGGTGCAGTGTTGCAAGTATTTTTCAAAGATAAATTTAAAGTCCGGGTATCATCAGATAGAGGTCCATCTTGATGACCAGTACAAGACTGCTTTTCGGACTAGATATGGGCATTATGAGTTCATAGTGATGCCCTTTGGACTGACCAATGCGCCAACTACATTTCGGCGATGTATGAATGATTTGTTTAGGCCTTGGTTAGATAGGTTCGTCATAGTTTACTTAGACGACATCTTAGTGTTAAGTTGGACCCTCCAAGAGCACCAAGGTCATTTGAGGCAAGTCTTGGAGAAGCTGAGAGAGGCTAACTTCAAGATCAACGCGAAGAAGTGCAAGTGGGCCAAGATACAAGTCTTGTACTTGGACCACGTTCTAGACGGAGATGGCATTAAGCCTGAGGACAACAAAATAGCGGCAATTAGAGATTGGCCGACGCCCCACACACTGACAGAGTTGCGGTCGTTCCTAGGCCTGGCTAACTACTATAGGAAGTTCGTGAGGAACTTTTCGACTATCGCCGCTCCCCTTCGCTGGTTGCTGAAGAAAGAAGCAATCAGGCAGTGGGACAAAGATTGTACATCCGCGCGTAAGAAGTTAAAGCGCGCGTTGATAGAGTATCCTGTCCTCAAAGTAGCAGATGCGTCTTTGCCATTTGTCGTCACCACGGACGCAAGTCAGTATGGAATAGGCGCCGTGCTGCAGCAGGACGACGACAATGGTTACAGACCCGTAGAGTTCATGTCAGCGAGGATGCCCTCAGAGAAGGTAGCTACCTCGACTTACAAGAGAGAACTCTACGCTCTTAGGCAGGCCTTAGAACACAGGAAACATTACCTGCTTGGAAGGCACTTTGAAGTGTATTCGGACCACGAGACTCTGAGGTGGCTAAAGACACAAGCCAAAATGACACCTAAGTTGACTAGGTGGGCCGCAGAGATAGACCAGTATGACTTCAAGCGCAAACCGGTCAAAGGCAAGTACAATGTAGTTGCGGATGCTCTAAGTAGGAGATCAGACTACTTTGGAGCCATAGTCCACTATCTGGATATAGGGACAGACCTGCAAGAGAAAGTAAGGCAGGCGTATCCACAGGACCCGATCTATAGCGACCTCCTCAAGAGAGTTAAGGAGGCCCCAAAGACTGAACCACATTACCACACTACAGAGGGACTATTATTCGAGAAGACCAATGTAGCGGACCGTCCATGCGTTCCCAGCAGTGAGGAGATCCGTAGCCTGATCCTAGGGGAATGCCATGATACAGAGGGACATTTCGGTTGGCAAAAAACTTTAGCCAATTTGATGCAGGCGTATACATGGCCAGGGATGAAAGCTGACTGCATAGAGTATGTTCGCAGTTGCAAACTCTGCCAGAGAAACAAGACAACTACGTGAGCCCCTCTAGGTCTTCTTCGACCCTTGCCTATCCCTGACCAGCCTGGAGATTCAGTCTCCATTGACTTCATGGATGCTGGTGTTAAAAGCAGACATGGGCTAAGTCATGGTGATAGTTTATAGATTTAGCAAATATGCAATTTTTGTTCCTTAGCTTGCAGAGGCACGCACCGAGTTGGTAATTCAGAAGTTTTTTGACCATTGGGTTAGTGATCACGGAATTCCGTTGTCCATAGTTAGCGATAGAGATACCCGGTTCACTAGTCAGATCTGGCAGGAACTTATGAAAGTCTATGGGTCAAAGTTGTTAATGTCGTCTGTGGCCGACACCCAAAGACTAACGGTCAGACCGAACAGATGAATAAGATCCTTCAACAAGTTCTGCGTATGTACATTAGACCCGATCAAGTCAATTGGGATGAGATGTTGCCCAAGGTAGCCAGTGCCTATAATAACAGCGTGCACTTAGCCACGTGTCGCACTCCCAATGAGCTGCACAAGTCCTTTATACCGCCCAGACCGTTTGAAGGACTTAACCGGGACCAGATCCACAGCCTACCGCCCGTTACTAGAGAGTTTGCGAATTGAGCACGAGGAGTAGTTAGCTACCGTTATAGAGAACCTGAGGAAGGTACAGCACCGAATGATAGAACAGGCTAACAAGCACCGCCGCCCGTCACAATTACAAGTAGGCGACCTGGTCTGGGTCAAGTCTAACGAGTTTGCCCCTGAGGAGAACGGAGAGGATGGGCCGTCCTACACAGCAGAGATCCCAGCACACGTCCACACCTACCCCGTGTTTCATGCATCAAAGTTGTTGCCGTGTGTCACAAGCCAGCAGTTCCCATCCAGAAGATCCATGATCCCTCTGGATGGGTAATATGACATTGAAGGCATTGTAGGTGAAGATGTATTTAGAACAGGAGGTAGAGGTCGTCCACAGAAACAGTACAAGGTCCGATTTGCTTATCAGAAACCCGAAGACGACCGCTGGTTTACTAGAACTGAACTTCTAGAATCAGCTCCCGATGTAGTGAGAGCCTATGAGCGAGAAAGAAAGGGTAAAGGTCCTGCCTTGGACTGAGTTATTCTCGGAGGACCTCGAAGCCGGCAGGAGTGAAACGGTATTCACCTGTTAGCAGTAGCGGATGCAGATCCCGGGGCTCGATCCCTAGTTCTCACTTCACCTGTGTACAGTATTTGTGCCGACCAGGAGAGTTGAACCCGTGACCTGTGTATTTGCAGTAGTTGGTAGGCTGTCGTAGGTCTGTAGGTTGTAGGGGTTCGATCTGGAGACCTGTCGTCTGTAGGTCTTAGCAGGTCGTGAAAGTCGTAGCTGCTACAGTCCTGAAAGGTCAAGGTCGTAGCTGCTACAGTACCGAAAGGCCAAGTCTACGAACTTCCAGAAGGTACGGAAGTGGCCTTTCGAAGCTTGCTCACGTTTAGACAGAGGCAAGTGGGCAAGTGGTGGGGCCAACTGCAGTTCATCGGCAGTGCGACTGCGGTGAGTTGGCAATGCGTCCCCATGCAGTCAGCGGTATTAGTCCCAGTCAGTCAGGTCCAGTCAAGCAAGTACCGTGTGGGACTGTGTGCACCCAAGGCATTGGAAAGGGGCAGACCAACGAGCTACAGAAGTCTAAATCAAGCGCCATAGCCAGCTGAGGCGAGCTTGTATCTGAACTGTGTCTTGGTTGCCATATCTCTGAGTTTTGAGTGGGCGCTTGTCGCCAATTTTGAGGTGCCACCTGTTTGCATGCGTGTGAAGTGTGAAAGAAAGTGAGTCTGATTTCACATGTGCAAATTCGCTTGGCCTTTCACAATTGCACCCACAAAAACTTGGCAATTGCCTGGGCGTTTTGCAACGTTGGGCAGCGTCCCGTGGGGGTACATTGCAAAGATGGAATCCAACTGATGAGTGGAGTGTTTCCGCAAATTGTTTTTGTCATCAACCTTTGCCGCAGCGTAGCTGCGGTGGGTTCACTAGTTGTTTATTAAAAAAAGAAAGTGATTGGACGAACGGGCCTAGCCCAGTTGGTACACCCATGACCCGTTGAAATACAGACCCAAGTTCGAATCCAGATGTAACCAGTTGAACAGAAAAA